ACCTCAGAAAATCTTTCACTTTAACATTTGACTGGGTAAAGCTTGACTTCCATGTTTACACTTCATTCACCTACAGGTAGTGATGTGATGCAAATAGAAAAACTTCTGGCCTTTGGGACAGAGAAGGAATAGCATGTCTGTGTATAAATCACCCCCAGTTCATCAAAGGCTGATGTCTTAGTTCCAGCTCTCAGGTCTCAGGTGTTGTAAATGCTGACTTACAGCTCCTTTATCTACTGATAACAAAGGTGAACATAAGTGATCTCCAGAAATGGTTCACCTGCACTCCAGGGTTCTTGAAACACCACAGGTGATTGGCAAATGTTTCTCTTGCAGACACAAACTCAAATAAACAGCTCATTCCCTTCGAGAGCTCCCCACAGCAGTGGTTACGAGCCTGAATGTAGTAAGGCGGGGACAAGCCTTCCTCTCCCTTGCCCCATACTTTCTTCCCCTTTCCGATGTCAGATTTTTCTGACACTTAAGGAGTCCAGACTGAGGGAAAGAAGTTATTGATAAAGAACTTCAGGAAGCAACTCCCATCCCCCCACTGCCCCTTGCCCAGGCCACTGCCCTTTCAGAGTTAGTTACAGACTCTCCATTCGACTCATTTCAGGAAGCCTGGGGGCCACATGGCTTTGAATCACTGTCTTGTAAGGCACAGTGAACTTCATTCAGTGGGCTCTGGGGAAATGCAGAGTTGGGTCCTGCCCGCCGAAGATTCTGGTAGGATTCTGATAGGTTTTGATTATAGGGAGCCTGGGTAACTCTGGAACATGTATTAATGGCACATGTAAAAAAGAATTAACAAATTTAGTGAGATATATTTCATATACCACATAATTCACCCATTTAAAGTATACAATTCAATGATTCTTAGTATATTAAATATTTTTAGTATTTATTTATTTTAATGGAAATGCATTTCTTTTATTTATTTATTTAATTTTACTTTTGGCTGTGTTGGGTCTTCGTTTCTGTGCGAGGGCTTTCTCTAGTTGCGGCAAGCGGGGGCCACTCTTCATCGCGGTGCGCGGGCCTCTCACTGTCGCGGCCTCTCTTGTTGCGTTGCGGAGCACAGGCTCCAGACGTGCAGGCTCAGTAGTTGTGGCTCACGGGCCCAGCTGCTCCGCGGCATGTGGGATCCTCCCAGACCATGGCTCGAACCCGTGTCCCCTGCACTGGCAGGCAGACTCTCAACCACTGCGCCACCAGGGAAGCCCCCATTCATTTTTATGACTGAATAATGTTCCATTGTATGGATATACATTTCGTTTATCCATTCATCAGTTGATGGACATTTGGGTTGTTTCTACCTTTTGGATATTATGAATAATGCTGCTATGAACATTTGTGCACAAGGTTTTGTGTGGACAGATGTCTTCATTCCTCTTGGGTATATACCTAAGGAGTAGAATTGTTGGGTCATATGGTAACTCCAAGTTTAACCTTTTGAGGAACTGCCCGACTGTTTTCCAAAGTGGCTGCACCATTTTACATTCACAAACAGTGTATAAGAATTCTAATTTCTCCACATCTTCCTTAACACTTATTATTATGTGCTTTTGATTTTAGCTATCCTAAAAAGTATGAAGTGATATTTCACTGTTTTTCTGATTTGCATTTCCATGATGGCTAATGACATTATCTTTTCATGTGCTTATTGGCCATTTGTATATCTTCTTTGGAGAAATGTCTGTTTAGGTCCTTTGCCCATTTTACAATTGGGGCTATTTGCCTTTTTATTATTGAGTTGTAGGAATTCTTTACATATTCTAGATGCAGTCTTTTATCAGATACATGATTGCAAAATCTTTCTCCCATCCTTCGCAGTTTTTCACTTTCTTGATGTCCTTTGAGGCATAACAATTTTATGTTTTGCTGATGTCCAATTTATCTGTTTTGTTGTTGTTGTGGCTTGTGACTCACACTTTGGGAAGTGTTGCTAAAATGCACCGTGAGGCTTCCCTGGTGGCGCAGTGGTTGAGAGTCCGCCTGCCGATGCAGGGGACACGGGTTCGGGCCCTGGTCCGGGAAAATCCCACATGTCGTGGAGCGGCTGGGCCCGTGAGCCATGGCCGCTGAGCCTGCGCGTCCGGAGCCTGTGCTCCGCAACGGGAGAGGCCACAACAGTGAGAGGCCCGCGTACCGCAAAAAAAATAAATAAATAAAAAATAAAAGAAAATAAAATGCACCTTGAAACTCTGGAAGCTTTGAGACCTCTAAGTTTGGCGGTGGTTTACAGGTTGACTTTGTGGTTGCCTTTGACAGGGATTTCCTCCAAGTTTGGGATTTCATTCCCCACCCAGCCAGCTAGCTCTCGCTCCTTCTCTGGGCTGGAAGCACAGAGCCCCAGGGGACCTTCACCGTGTTTACATTCCCCTCCCTCTCCTGAGGTCTACCACAATAGAGCAGCTGAGATGACAGTTTGGAAATGTCCTTTATTGTGAAAACTCAATGGCCTTTGTCTCTGGGATTTGAAATTTTCATGCAAATGTTGGCAGCCCAGAGTTCGGAAGGAGGAGGGGAAGGGCCGGGAGAAGAAACCCTGCCATTGATTTCCATAGTGAGTCATTTCAGCTCTGTGTTGTCTTGGTTTTCTCACCCATAAAATGGGGGAAAATTTGTCCATCTCCCCAACTCAGTGGGGGCACTTTGAAGATGAGTTAGAATACTTTTGAGATCTTGGATTAAAGACATTACTGAGGCACAAGGTGTTATTATAACAATAAATGACCTAATAGAAGAGAGGGTGAGGCCGCTAAAGCAAAGGGCGGAAGGAGAGGCTCTGCACTGTGGAGTGGCTTCGGTCTAGAGCTCCTGGGCCCAGACAGAGTTTTATTCTTAGGAGTGAGATGGTGTAATTTCTCACAAACTCTTTGGGTTATTTCATTTGAGTTCAGCATTGCTCTGCTGAGTACATCCTATATGACTTCTGCCACAAGGAAAGATTACACTCTTTTTAGGAAATAAGATATACGTTAAAACAAGTAGAAACAGATCAAGATATTATAATCAAGCCGTGAACTGAATAACAAGTGTCAAAAAGAAAGCAGAATAGATAATGGTGAAGAGAAGCATTCCCCTATTATGAATCTGAGATCTACCATACACTAGCTGTGTGACTTTGCCTCATTTTCTTCTTCTGTGACTGCAATTGTTCATATAAAGGACTTGGAATAATGGCCAGCACATAGTAAGCCCTCAAATGTTGGGCCTATCTGGGACCTTGTCAGGTTCGGCTTTTTCTGGTTATGTGATCTTGGCCAAGTGGCTAGATCCTTCTTATCCTCAGTTATCCCATCTGTAAAATGGGGATAAGGATACTTACTAGGGAAACGGAGCAAGACCCTGTGGGGCCCTCCTGGGTACAAATCCTTTCCGTGTTCTCCATTTCTTGTTTGCAGGAAATAGGCTTCATGCAGCGTCCTGGATCTTCCTTGAGTTCCAAAGGGCAGATTGAAAGAGCTGCTGATCAGGGAAGGGAGTGCAGAAACACAGGAGGAGCATTCAAGAAACAATAGTGCAGCCATGGGGCAGAGTCTGGTTTCCAACTCAAGGAACACACATAACAATATTTTTGAGTTCTTCTGCAGGAACTAAGGCCCCCATCCAGGTGGAGGATGGTAACTTCAGGCTGAGCACAAGATTCCTGGAACACTGCCCTGTTACCTCATCACCAACCAATCAGAAGAAAGTCTGCACACAGTGGAAGGTAAGAAAGAATCTGACCCCCTCCCCTGATGATTCTCCCTTTAAAAACTTTCCTGGGCGAGCAGAATCTCTAGCGTTGGTTTTTGTGCAGGAGCGTGCCATCTCCCCAGGTTGCCAGCCTCTTGAATAAAGCAACATTTCCTTTCCAACCAACACTTGTCTCTGGAGTATTGGCTTTCCAGCGGCAAGCAGATGAACCTGATTTCCGTTAACACTAGCTCACAAGGCGGAGGTGAGGATGGAGGGAGACAATGTTTGTAAATAGCATAGCAGGAGCCCTACAAATGGTAAGCATTCACTAAATTAGTTACTATTACTGTCAGTAACGCGATTACCTGCCCTGGCTGAGGGGTGCTGCTCACCGATGGCTTAGTTAAATCAGAGGCCTTCTTTGGAAGCTGGAATTTGAGATGGGCAGGAAGGGATTGATAGGATTTGGGTGATCAGAGAAGAAAGCAGGATTAAAGAAAGGCAGAAGCCTGAGGCTGAACTGTCTCTGGAAGGCAGGAGGAGACTGGGGCTTCTCACTTTCCGCACCCCCCAGTCCGGAGCCTGGCGGGCTGTATCTGGCAGAGCCCGTGGCTGCTGTTTACCTCCGACCCCCTCCACCCCGCACCCGCCTTCGCAATCTCTTTCACCTTCGCAGTCGGCGAGGGCAGTGCTCTGCTAGGTTGGAGGAGGCTCTCCCTCCCTGAGGAATGTGCGACCCTCCCTCTCTGAGGAATGTGCGTCTAGCTTCCCGGGCCGATCCGGCCCAGCGCCTACCACTTTCCCCCGCCGCGGGTAGCCAGGGGAGCCCCGCTGTCTTCACCCCACCCTCCGCCATGATCCAGTTTCAAAGTCACCTGAAAGCCATTTCCTTCCGCGCACGCCCCTCCCCTCCCTGTAAATCACCTAGGGCTTGCATTTGCCTGGAGTAACTTTTTTTCTTTTCCTTTTTGGCTTTTTTTTTTTTGCTTATTTTGTTTTTAAACGTGAATATTAGGCGTTTACTAGACACACTTACCTCTACTGGATGTCAAGTATACCCAGTGGTTCTGATGTCAGTGTCCCATCCCTCCTCCCATTCTGGGCTTCTCTTCCCCAGTCCTGTGCTGGGACAGCATCTTTTTTTCAGCACATTTATTGATGAATTACTTCGGGTTTTAAAGTTTATGCTCTTGCTCAAAACGCAGCCGATCCTTATTGAGTGTCCCTGTCGCGTCCTCAGCCCCTCACTTTCCAGGTGTGCACCTTTCGATGCCCACGTGATTACATACAGACATAAAAACAGGAGACAGGTTCTCTTCGTTTTACCAAAATGGGTCCTTTATTTACACGGGTTTCTGCCTCTTGCTTTTCCCACCTAACAGTCTCGTGGTGGACTCCCTCCAAGTTATCGGCTTCTTCATCTCTTTCTTGTCAGCTTCTCGGAGGTTTGGATTTATATCTGTAAAGGGTCACGGGAACCGAATTTCGGTGAGGAATTCAAGACGTGAGTTTCTGGCTCAGAAGAGCCGAGGTGACCTGCTCTGGTAGGATCAGGACTCCCAAGTCCGATCCCAACTAAGGACTCACTTGGAAGCCCCCTTTCCTGTCCGTACAATGGGGGCTGTTTTGGCCGTCCGGTGACCTCTTGGGAGGCAGTGATATCAGGTCTGTGACACCACTGTGTGTCCCCCCCCCCCCCACCCCGTGCGTCTTTGTGTCTTAGCGCATCTAGGTTGCTCGGGGTCGGCTAGCGTTCGGCCGGGAGGACACCGCCGGGGCCGCGCGCTCGCCCCACCCGCGGGCGTTAATCATTAGCGGCGCGCAAGCCCCCCTCCCGCCGCCGCAGCCTTTACCCCGGGTTCCAGCTCGCAGCGCCGCGAGGTTGCCCCCGTCCCCCGCCGAGCCGCCAATCGCGGGATTCCAGTCGCTGGCCCGAGTCTCCACCCACTGGAAAAATTCCTGGTCCGCCCTCCCTGTCCCCTCCCGCGGCTGCTGCCGCTCTGCTCGGCCCCGACTTCCTGCCGGGCGCTGGAAGGCGCGCGCGGGCTGGGGTCCCCGGGGGCCGCGCTAGCAGCTGGCCGCGCCCCGGCCGCCAAGGGGCTGGCCGTGGGCGGGAGCGGCCGGCAGCCTCGGCCCCTTCCCGGAGCGACATTCAAACTCGCGCCCGCGTTGCGGCGGCACCTGGGTGGCTTCGCGCGCCGTGCGTTCTGGATCCAGCCGGGCGGCCGCTGCTCGGTGAGTGTCCGTCGGTTCTCCCCGCGTCCTCTGCGGGCGCAGCGGGCCGAGCGGCAGTGCCCGGAGTGGTTTTGAAGCCCTTGCCCTCCCGGGCACCCGCCCCAGCCCCCTGCGGGGTGAGGACTCGGCGCGGCAGAGAGGGGCCCGGGGCCGCGTGGGCTCCTCCCAGGGCGACCCTCCAGGCCGAGGGCTGGAGCGCAGGAGGCTTGTGCAAGGAGACATTTTTCTGTCCTTTAGCCCCCACCCCGGAAACGAAAGGAGCGAATGCGCCCCGTGACTCCCAAGAGGCGCAGTTTGAAACCCGGGAAGCCCTCGAGGCGGCGCCCACCCGCGCCCACTGCGCGCTCTTTTGCCCGAGGGCTGGTCCTTGCCTCGGACTGTGGGCCCGGGAGGGGTGGACTCTTCTGGGGAAGGACCCAAGCCTCTGGTCCCGGGAGCCCAAAGGCGCCAGCAGCCTGTTCCGGGTTGGTGTCACACAGTACTCGCTCTGGGAATCTCACGCGTCCTGGAGGGATTAGAGTGGGTGCCAGCAATGGGGTGTCGGGGAGCCGAAAGCACAGAAGCCACTGCCTGCCGCTGCCTCCCTCGACCTCACCCACTCCCAAAACCGGTTTGGTTGATTTTCTCCTTATTCGCAGCCCTTTGGTTTGGAACGCTAGGAGGAGGCGTGCAAACTCGAAAATTTCAAGACGTTTTTAGGTAGCTACTTTTACTCTTTGGAGCTGCTTTTTAAAACAAAAGAAAGAACGGAGTGGGAAACGTAATGGTGGGAGGCTGGAGGGGTGTGGCCTGGGGTGGGGCGGTGTTATAGCGGCCACTGTAAGAGTTTCACCCTCGGAAGTCACTTGCCTGTCTCCTGTTCTGGGGCCCCCAGGAGGCGATCCGGATTGCATCGTCCTACAGGGAACCCTGGACTGGGGGTTCCCAGAGTCTCCTCAGCCCTGCCTCTGCACGCAGCTCAGTCACACCAACCTTGCTCAAAGAAATAATGAGGGAGAGTAATGACAGCCCTGAGGGCTCCCCACTGAGCACATTGCCGGCCTCCCTTAAGGCAAGTGCCTTTCTAGCCTGCCTTTGCTGGACTGGGAATGGAATCCTGAGTGACGTAGCTGGGAATGACTTCACCCTAACCATTTCCAGCAGAAAACCTAGGGAGTAAGAACCCAAAAAAGGTGTACCCCTTCCCTCTGTTGTTCACCCTCTTCCCTGTGGGCCTGGGATGCCTCATCTCATCTCCTGCTGTTAATACTCCTCTGTCTCTGCTGCCCCCACTCCCTTCCCAGAAGGCTGGGCAACCCCTTAGATCCCTGGATGTCTTGCTCTGGGGATGGGATAGGGAGTCTGCGTGGGGTAAACCAAGTCCTAGAAGCAGAGGAAGTGGTTTGCTTAAGAGCTGCCTTGGGCTTTTCTACTGCATTTTATTAGAAGTGGCACACTGAGGAGAGTGGGAAGAGCACTGGCATGGGAGCCCAGCACAGGATTTTGCCTCCGCTTTAGTCCTGGCTCTACTGTATATGGCATCAGGTTTCTAGAGTCATTTGGGCTGGAAGGCACCTCCCATGTGCCTAGGCCATTTACACATGCAGGCAGCAGAGCCCAGAGATGTGACGTGACTGGAGCCTGGCTCCTGTTGGCCAAACAGGGACCAGAACTCAGATTTCCTCGTGGTCTAATCCATGCTTTTCCCAACGTGACCTGAGCAAGTCACATACTTTTTTCTGACTCAGTTTCCACATGAGTAGAGTTGGGGACTTGCCTGCTTTTCTTCACAGAGGCTGTGGTAAGGATCAAAGGAAGCCACATACGTGGAAAGTGCTGCATAAACTCCTATACAAAATGAGGGGCTCACTGTGGCTAGGAGGGGCCCTCAAGAGCTTTACAATTTACTGGATACGTCCCATGTGTGCCACAAGGAGACGGTAGATACCAGGAGCCAATGCTGGATGTTTACACCCCTGGCCTGTAATAGCTCCAGGGTAAACATTTGCCCTACCAAATCCACAGCTCTCCCAGGGTCACTGTGTTTACCCTGGAGGTGACCAAAGGCCATGGCCTGAGGGATGGCCAGGGCAGGAGGGGAAAAGGAGCTGTGTTCCAGATGTATGGCTTGCCCCTTCACCTCCATTCTCCTCTCAAAACCTTGTGAAGGCTCTGGTTCCAAGTCTGGGGGTTGCTACAAGCCCAGGCTGAGCACTGACTTTGGAGGGTTAATCGGGAGACCAACTAGCTATTCCCTGTTGTGTTGAGGGTTGAGGGGACTCTGGGCATTGGGAGGGTGCTGCCTTTGCAGCTGCACTGAGGGCTGTCTTCAGCTCCTCATTTGCCCCCCTCTCCCCATCCCAGGCTGCCACTCTGGCCCAGGCCGCTGCTCAGTCCTGCCTCTCTGGCCAGCTGCATGTCCATAGGCCTTTGTTTCAGGGTTGGAAGCCCGCCCTCCCCAGCAGAAGCCCTCAGGTTGGGGCCCTGGCAGCTGGAAATCACTACTGCCAGCAGGAAGGCTTTACTGGAGTCCACAGGGGACCTGGCAGACCTTCATTTCCTCTTGTAGGTCCCATCTGGAGACCCCAACTTGCCCCTGGCCAGATTCTCTCACCATCTTTTCTCATCTTTCCTCCCCATAATGGATGGATCATGCTCTTTTTCTTCCTACACTCACACTTCTTAGTTCTATTTTAAAGGATTCATTCATTCATTCAACAGTTTTTTTGGCATCTACTATATATGAATGCTGGACGCAGAGGACACAGCAATGAACAAAATATATGATAGTCATTGACTTCATGGAGCTGGCTTCTGGTGGGGGGAGCTGTCAATAAGCAAGACAGATAGTGGAAAGCAAGTTAATGATAAGCAGAGCCACATGATAGGGAAGGTGGATGTGAATTGTCATGGAGGGGGTGAGATGGCATTTTAGATGGGGTGGCCTGGGGCGCATCCCGAGGAAGGGCTATTTGATAATACCTGAAGGAGGAGTTTCCCTTCGTCTCTGGTTTCCTTTTCTTTTTTTTTTTTTCCGCGGTACGCGGGCCTCTCACTCTTATGGCCTCTCCCATTGCGGAGCACAGGCTCCGGACGCACAGGCTCAGTGGCCATGGCTCACGGGCCTAGCCGCTCCGCGGCATGTGGGATCTTACCGGACCGGGGCACGAACCCATGTCCCCTGCATCGGCAGGCGGACTCTCAACCACTGGGCCACCAGGGAAGCCCCTCTGGTTTCCTTTTCTTGTAACCCAGTTCATGCAACTCACTGCAGGGCTTGACAGCTTACTAGCCCTGCGGTGCTAAACTCCTTTGAGCCTGTGTTTCTCACCAGTAAAATGGAGTTAGTCATCATACCTACCACATACAGTTTTGTGAGACTGAACAATGAGCTAACGTGTGTTAAAGGCTTAGCAGAACCTATAAAGGTCATCAGTAAGTGATAGTCTTTTATTTTGTTATTTCTCCAACCAAATTCTGCAGGGGTAGCCCAAGATATTTAATGCCATTGCTAAATGAAAAGCTTTCCGTTTGAAGAATTAGGCAAGTGGGGAATTAGAGGCAGGTGAAAATCGAAACCCTAGTTAGTGCAGACTTTCTAGTTGGTGGGACTTTTCAGCCATGTCCTAGATTTTCGGGGGTTGAGGATGTGGGCCTCCCAGGTGTGTGTGCTGCTTTCCCTGCTGACAGGGTGAACTGGGGGCAGCCCTGATTCTTCTCCCTTGCTCTGGAATTCCCCTTGCTTCCGAGCAGCCCTGATGAATCACACCTTCGTTCCTGGCCTCTCTGTCTCACAGCTGGGAAGACTATCTGCCCCTCCCCCAACGTCCTGTAGATAAATTACGCTCAGAGAGGGAGAGAAAGGGATGGTGAAAATGAGGGAGGGGCAGGGGAAAGCTGGGCAGATGGGTGGAGCTGTTTTAGGAGAGCCTGCAAAGGTGCAAGAGGATTCTGATGAAGGCCTAGAGGCAGCCCCAGAAAAAGTTTCAAGAAGTGTCCACCATGGACCAGAATTTTGTGTCCACCATGGACCAGAGTAACAGAATGGACAGGCACTATGAGTGCTCAGAGTCTGGCTGGACTCTGCTCAGCTCTGCACTGCTTCCACCCAGGCATTCTGAGGAGTCTCTTCCCCTCTCTGCTGGAACCAGGACCTTAAAGGGAGGGACCTGTTCTCAAAGCCTGCGGTCAAAAGCTGCGGTGAGCGGTTTCCTGGGGGCCTGGCCCTGGCTCAGGAAGCAGGGGTGGGTGGTGGAGGGCGTGTCCTGGGGGAGTGGTGATCAGCCAGACCACTCCCTCTAAGAGCCCTGTCACCATCCAGCAGGAGCTGGACAGCCGAGCGGGCCCTGTGGTGAAGGAGCTTCCTGGTGCCTGGAGGAAACCAGGTAAAGCTAGATATAATATGGCTTCAGAGGAAGTGGTTGGGAAGGTCCAAACAGCCTCAGGCATTTTTATGATGTTGGGTGACCTCAAGTCAGAGGGGAATGAAAACTGGGTAGGGTCAAGGAACCTGTGATCAGAAGGAGGAGGTACATCCAGAGATGCCGGCATCCCTCTGGGTGCTGGCTGTCTGGGATAAAGGCTGGCTTTGTCAACAGGGTCTCTGCTCTGTTCTTATTTTGATTAGCAGCTCTCTGAAGGCAGGGACTCTGAGTCATCTTTGTTCCCACATTGCATGGAGAACAGTGTAAAGTGTAATCAACAGGGCATGATGAGCTTGTGCTGGGGTCCCACCCTGAGGGCAATCTGGGCTCCGTGATCTCATCTGCTCCAGTTTTTGTTCCATGGAGTTAGAGGAAGAAGTCAGTGGTGGGGGTCAAGCCTAGCCCTTGGTGGGCTGTTGCCATCTGGGAATGCCAGCCAAGGGAGAATGGGGCTTTTTATAGTTCTCTTGCTGGCCTTTGGGGAGGGAGCCCTCCTGGCTTAAGCTCAAGGAGTGGATTTTTAAGGACTCTCAAATTCTGTTTCGTGCTGAGCAGACTCTGGGCCAACCACAGGACCTGAATGAGGTACAGATGGGCACAATGGTAACTGTGCATGTAGCCTTTTGGGAGATAGAGTTTGAGGGTACTAGGGGTTGCTCTGATTGTTGCTGGAGTTTGGCTGAGACTGGAGAGAGGGATGCTACAGGAGTGAAGTCTATTTCACTATGGTAATGGGATCTCGGGAGGGAAGATGGGTTCTACAGGTACTGGAAGCTCTTAAAAAGTCATATCCTTTACTCTCCAGGCCACAAGACTGTGTGTGTGTGTGTGTCTGTGCACATAAATCAGAGGTTCTTGACTGATAGATGTCAAGTGTTTATTGAAAGGAAAAGAGAACCAGTATTCTTGTGGTCTCTATCCTGTGCGTTGCTACATCCCCAGTGCTTGATGCATAGTAGGATTCAATAAATATTTGTTGAATAAGTAAAACCCTACTGTGTGATGAACCTTTAGGAATTAGAGAAATTTTCATGCTCTTCACAAATGTTCTAATCCTGTCTGGAAGTATCTAGGATAGAGTATAACATTCTAAGAAGTTGAACCTGTGGTCAGCTGCTCTGGCACAGGGGCAGGCAGCTCTGTATTCCTCCAGCCTGGGCAAGTGAAAGGGTGCCTGGGGTCA